CTTTCTCCATCAGCTTAAAAAAGCCCTGTATGAATCAAAATTTGTCTCTCTGACACCTGGTTACCTAGTTATTATTTTTTTTTTCCTAGTCTACAAGTCTAATGGGTATTTCTATATAATTACTTTTTATTAATGATAATAATAATATTAGCTGGTGTCTCTGGCACCAGAAAGCTCACATCTATGGGATTCCCTTCTGTAAGAAAACAGGATCTGTAAACAAAAATCTCATTTTATTGCTCAAAGTCTAGGCTAGATTTTAATTTCACATGCCAGGCCATAGCTGCGTAACTCCAGCAATAAACCCAGGCAGGAAATCTTTTCCTAATTTCGTCTTGGCTGCAAGGCACGCTGTTTTACCAGTGCGATACTACTACTTATTTTTGTTACTGCCAATTACAGTGGCTACTGCACAGATTGACCTTATGAAGTATGGTTAAGGATTGCTCTAAATCCTTACTGAATCTTGAAAGACTCAGGAATCATGATGGTATCAGAAAATAAACTGTTAGAATCCCCAAATACAACATTTCTGTAGATAATTATAGATGAAAAAAGACTAGAAGGTACCTTCTGAAGCACTGAGCTGCCTACATTTCATTTAATGCAAATATTTACAGTAACTTAGATTCTGTGGGAGTTGTTTAAGTATACAAATAGTTTACAAAGAAAACAGTTTTTTTAGATGGAGACCCAGGATGCATACCCGGAGGGAGAATGGCCATTCGTTATGAGAAAGGAATTGGCAAGGAGCATGGTGGGCAGGAGACAAAAGGCTTTCCATTTCCCTCTTATTTTTTCTGTGCTTTGGTGTTCTTGCTTTCTTCCTCAGTTTCATCTCAGCTCCTCCTCAGCTGATCATTAGCCAGAACTGGCTCTGCTGCTCTGTGAGGTCCTTTACCTTTCTCTGTAAGCATCCAGCTGAGGCCAGAGCCATGACCAGCCATTAGCTCCCTGCTCTCGCTGAAGCAGCTTTAGACTGTGCTTAAAGAAAAAAAGAAAAGTTTTCCCCATTACAGCCAAAGCAAAATATTGTCCGATGAAGAAAATGCCTATTGATGTCAGTAGGATCAGGATTTTATTTCAAGAGTTAGGGAAAAGAGTTCATTAAAGCATGTGAGCGCCTGCTACTGAGGCATTGCTGTGTGGTGCTTAAAGTGGATGGCTCAAGCCACAGCCTTTGCCTCTTCTGCAGTCCCCCACAAGCCAAGCCTCCCCTCTGCTGCTGCACTCGCTGAGGAAGCTTGCGCACATCTGTGGTTTTTAAAAAGAATTGCGTTTAAAATGTTAAGATGTTAGCCACATCAGTGTTTTTAGAAGATCCCAACTTCCTAATGTAGCAAAATTTAGGCTGATCATGTTCTACAAAGAGCTGAACCTATGTCAGCAAAGTTCAGGTTGTAATGGTAGTATCTGCATTTGGGCTTGAAATGCCTTCTCTAGGTTGAATGTTAAGTGAAATTCATTAAATTATTTCAGTCTATGAAACAGAATCAAGGACAGCTTATGAACAGTTCAGATCTGTCAGGGCCGCCTGCCTTGCGTTCAGCTAAAATGACGCTTGAAGATGCAAGGTGTTTAGTTGTGTGACCAGGTGACATATTTCACACCATCTCTTGTGGGCCAGCACTCTCCCCCTTTAGGTGACAAGAAGGCAGAGCAGGCAGGTGCCTGGCTGCAGGCGAGCACACGCAGATGTCCTTCCGCTGCCACTGCGCTTTGTTGTGAATCCCAGCGTGATCTCCCCACACTCTTGGTTTCAGCTTCCAGGACAGAAAGACGGTCACAAAGTGGCCACTACATCTGGCTTTCTGGTCAGAAATGAGAAGTCTTGAGGTGCATGGGTTTACTTGGGGTAGGTGGTAAAACCTCTGAAGCTGTCATGGCGTGTAAAGGGCAGAATGCAGTCTGCAACCCAGTCTGCTTTCCTAGTTGTTTGTGTAAGTTTCAGCTGGAAACAAGATTTGTCATGAAAGCTAACGGATGTGATGGCAGGAGAACTGAAACCCCAGTGAAAGCTAAATGGATCCCACCCTTGACCAAACTGCAAAGTTTTGCCTCCCTTTAACCCCAGCATTACCCGCAAGTGTCCCTGAATGCTGTCTTCCTTCCATCCTGTAAATGAGAAAGGTCATGTCTGGCTCTTTCTCATTTAAAGTACATGTAAATCTGGGATACACAGCACATACACAATTGCAGGGCAGAACCTGATAAGTGATCAAAAACATCTCAAACAACTACGCTTATCACGCGAGAAGCATCCTAAGATCTGTGAGCGTATGCTTAGTAGCGATATGTTTTTACAGTCTCAGTAGATGGCACCAAAGATGACAAAAACCAGCACATAACTTGTGTAACAGAAAGAAGGGGTGAGGGCTTGTGAGGGGAGGGCAAGGTAATTTCTTTTAAGTGTGCAACTGCATTTTCGGTGTATTTGACTGTAGCTTTGCATGTGCAGGTGAGCAGCAATGTGTACATCAGTTAGGCTGCAAACCATCGGTGAGCTGGCAAAGCGAAGCAGAGCTGAGAAGTAAGAGGTGTAGGCAGCTATGCTGGGTGTCTGGGCTTCAAAATCTTTTGAAAGGGCAGCATTGTGTTTGAGTTGTGGTGTAAAACTACCTGGCTACGGGCTCAGCTAGGGATCCTGGCCAGAGGACCTGCTGTGCAGGGGAAATGTTCAAGATGCCCTGTCCTTGGGAGGGTTATTGCTCCTTCCAGGATCACCCCCTCAGGCTGGTGGGCAGGTATCTTGACCATGGCTTTCTCTCTCTCCATGGCCTTGTCCTGTGGTGCCTAAAATAACCTGTGGGAAGAACCTGTGGTGTGCAGGAGGTGATGGTGTGCCTGGCTGTGGCCAGCTGTGGGAGGTGCCTTCATTCTGTGTGCTACCACCTGACTGTGGTACCCATACAAACAGCTTTCTGATGGGGCGTGCCAAGTCAGATCTAACACTCCCCAGTTCCTTGCTTCTGATCTCCAGGTGCATCGTTATAAATTTAAATGTGAAGATTTTAAATCCTCCTGCAGCTGTGGGGCAAAATTTGTGAATAATTACATTACTAAAAATATGTAAAATCTGCTCTCCTTATATTCCCCCCCTTTCTCCTCTCCTTATTTTTCTGATTCTAGATCCACTAATAGTTTCTTAATGATCTTTATCAGTCCAAGTGCGGGCACAGATGAGAGGAGTTGTACAGGTAGTGAACAGCAGGGCACTGCTGAGAACCTTTCACTGCATTTAAAATAAAATAACCCGTTTTGTTGCATGTGCAGTTTGGTGCCCAGATCAGTGATGCTGGATGCACAAAGACTTGGTTTATACTGCAGTAGCTGTGTAAAATTTTCTTCCTGAAAACATTCGTGTATGTCCAGCTCATCTTAATGGGTGATCAAAGTGCACGTGCTGAAGGCGTACTCTCCAGTCTTTGGACCTAAATCTTTTAAGGGCTGTTAAACTTGGAGGCTACAGCATGAGGCATTAGAGCACGGTGAGCCAGACTGGAGAGCTGTCACCAGATAATCTCCATTGACGCCTCGTTGCTCTTGGCTGCCATCAATCATTGTTTGTATGGGAGACGAGAGAGTGTGCTGCTGTAGGGAGCTACAGACACAACAAAATGGTACAGTAGTCTAAAAGAAAAGAATAATTATTTAAAGGTAAATGAATTTCATTTAGATAATAGAGATACAAAACAATTCCTGACACAAAAGAGTCCCTGCCTTGTCTGTAATCCTCCCTAGATGAAAGGACCTGATCCTGCAAATCCCAGAGCCAGGAGTGTGGGGCTGTCTGCCAGGGGTGGTTCCTGTGGCTCCTTGGTATCTGTGATGGTGCTCATCACTGGGGTCTACAGCTGCACACCACGCACCTGCCTGCTGTGTCTGAGGGGCTTGGAAGGCCTGTCTGTAGAAAGCGAGGGAAACCTTCCAGCTTCAGGGACACGTTAAGTTCAGAAGACAGCAGGCAGCAGTACTCAGGGAGGGCCTGGGTGATGTGCCTGCGCTAGTGGGAGGCTTCCTTGAAAGGATGCCCTCAGTCTACAGAACAAGGTGGCCAGGGTAGCTCAATTTTTCTACTTTGAGGCTTTTTTTCTCTTTTATTCTGCCCAGATTCAGAGCCTGATAGGAACCTCTCAAGTGGGAAAAGTGCAGAATCTCAAAACAGAAGCATAAGAGTTTTTCTTGGGTATAAAATTTCAGTCAATAATGTGCTGCTGCCTTATTGACATGAAAAGAATGCCTTTCATGTGATAACAAACATTTACTTGCTCCTGCTTACTCTACTCACCTTGTACAGAAATGCTGATTGCTATTGACTAATCAGTCCATTTTTGTATATTCTCATCAGACTCTTTCTTTGGCTGGAACAATATGCACTGTATGATGCTTGCATGTCTAATAATTTGTTATTAGCACTTTGTATATGCCTTTGTTACTTCACAACTAACAGTTTGGCCTCTAAGTGCATGCATTTGTGTAAATTAATATGTTATAAAATAGTAGATTTATTTGCTATGTTTTTATCAATATAGGAGATGTGCAAGATACACAGAAAGACACTGATAATTGCCATTTAGTCACCAGCAAAAGGCATTGTTCAGCTTGATTTATACAGTCACTGTTTCTATTTAGGCTTCATAATGCCATGTCTATCTTTTAGCTCTGTATTTATTCAATTGCAGATTTGGTTTGGTAATTTTATAGTGATTAATTACAATACCATATAAAACAGTTTAAGAAGTCGTTTTTGTTATGCATTACAATTCTAACAGGAAGTAGGAAATTTTATTTTTTCTTCCAGTGTTCCTGAAAGCTATAAATACCTTTGTTCATATCATGAAATTATTAGACTACTGATCAAACAACTTTATCTCCCCGATATTGAGCTAATAATAAGCTATATACTTGGTTGTGAACCAAGCTTCAGAGTAATGGCAGTTGCTGTTGCAGTGCTAGGGCCTGAAGACATTACATTTATTTTGTGTGTTTCAACATCTCAGGACACTGTCTCCTGCGAAGTCTCCATCTTCGTCCACTGGCTCTATTGCTTCCAGCAGAAAATACCCTTACCCGATGCCACCGCTTCCTGACGAGGAGAAAAAAGCCAACAGGCAAAGTGCCAGGGTACGTGTCCCTCTTCGCTGTGTGTTTCGTCAGTGACTTGATTTACTGGTAGTTTTTCGAAAGGAAAGCATGGTAGATCAGCATCTCTGGATAAGAGAGAGCAGCAGGGGCATTTCCTTCACCCCCTTAACTCCAGAAGCTGCTGGAGGCTGAGCTTCTGGCAGCAATTAGGCAGCCGTGGTGGCTGTGCTTACAGATGTCCCTTCAAGTTGCTCTTAAACCTGCCCTGAAGCCCAGATTTCACTAGTTCTCTTATTTCAAGCTGGGAGCGTGCCTGGGACAGCTTTTGGGCTGCCGAGGACAGGCAGCCCTGGAGCAGTTGGCCATCTGCTTCTCCCCACTTACCCCTTCCGGGGGGCTGACACAGCTGGCGACTCTCGTTCGGGCTGGGGGATAGCTGCTTTCCAGCTTTGTGGAAGGGTAACTACGCTGCAGTTAAGGAGGATGTGGAGGGCTCGCATCAAGAGCGCTCGCATCAAGCCCTTGCAGAGCTGGAGGGACTTTGCAGCCGCGTGCTCTGAGCCCCCCCGGTCCCCCAGGGTGGGCAGGCACAGCTGGAAGGTGCTGTGGATGGTGGTGCTGCGCCGCAGGGTGCGATTTCCAGCTGCTGCCGAAAGGCAACGCTCCCCGTTGCATCCTTTGTGTCAATTCAGACACAGCAGATACTTGAGTAAGCAAAAAACCTCTGAAATTTACATTGGTAGTTTTACTTGTGATAACTGTAGTTCATGTTCCTGATGCAGGTGAGACTCCCATCTCTGCTCTCTGTTCTTACTGTTTTCCAAGAAATAAAGGAGCGGAGTGCTGCCGAGGGGACCTGCATGCTGCTACCCCCAGTCCTGCTCGGGGCAGAAAGCTGTGTGAGGGGCAGCACAGGGCCTCCCAGGCGCATGTGGGGCAGAGCAGCTTGTTGGAGGGCCTGCAATCAGGTTTCTCAGCCCTGGAGCTGCCTTGGGATCAGCTCAAACCTGTGGCAGAAATCCACGCTGCCCTGAGCTGGGTTAGTCAGAAGAGAGTGGGAAATTACACTGATGTTAGCGTAACTGTAAGGTAAAAGCTGTCTAATACCAAGCTGATGGTACACTGACGGTTTTCCTTCGACCTCTCCACACTGCCAGCTGTGGACATTTACTATGCTGACTGCAAGTCACGCAGAAATGCTTGAGACTGCGGACTCCCGTGGTCTGGACAGAGGGTGGGAGGAGACCAAGAGCGTAGCCTTGGTGACCCAAGTGATGCAGATGCAGTTCCCCGAACAAGTTCCTCACACTGTTTGGGTAACAGCCTGTTTTATCTTGGTGTTCAGTGTGTGTTTGTGTTCCTTTTCCCCCTCTCCAGCTATGGGAGACGTCCATTTAGCTGCACTGTTTTCCTGGGGTGACGTCAGAACTGTTTACTTCGAATTTTATAGAGACTCAGCATCACTGAGTCACTGCGCATTCATCTGCTCTTCAGACCGATCGAAAGATCAACAGAGATGCCCGTGGTCACAGTGAGAACCTCCTCTCATCTGGAAGGGAAAAAAGCAGTCTCTTTTTTTCTTTCTTTTTTGTTGACTGGTATTTTATGGATTTGGTGAGCAACCAAAATCGTAACAATTAACAGGGGATAATTAGCCCCGACGTGACAAGGCTGTTCCATAGGATGACAGATGCACTTACCTAGAATCCCAGCTGCAGGCCGTTTGCCCATCCCGCGTAAGAGGGGTTTTTCTCTGGTTTAATGTAGTTCTGAGTCAGACCAGAGTGGAACTGGGAGGCGTCTCCAGGAGAGCCCAGCCGATGTAAACTTGTATGCTGTATGCATGAACCTTGTGTTCTTTACTTTCCACATGTAAGGGATAAACAACATACTGTAGTAGAAATTAGCATGCAGGAGTAAGAAATACAGGATTTTTTTGTGACAGGATTTCAAGCTTTGAAAGGCAACTATTTGACACAAACGTCAAACAAACAAGGATTATATCTTTTTTTTTTTACCTTACATGTTTATAATCTCAGTATACAGATTGTATATATGTAAACATTTGATAATGTCAAAAGTAGCTGTTATACATAAGTGTATTTTGCCAAATGCCTAAAGAAACAGTCATGACTAACATCATCACACTTCAAATTTTCTAATACTCCAAGCAGACAACTTTGGAAATACAGAAAGTACAGTACTGTAAAACCGTGTCTCTCAGAAACTGGTGTTTGACCAAAATCTATGCTATCTTTCCAATATCTTATACCGTCTTGACAATCTCAGTTATGTGGTAGACTGCAGAAACCAGTACAGCAGCACTTTGTCTTACATCATCGTAAGAGGAACCAGCCAAAGTACCTTGCTTGCTGAGGTGACGAGAACATCCTCTCACAGGTGTCACCAAGAACGATTCCGCAGATTAAGTAATGCACAGTCCAAAATTACTGGATGTTTGGGAATACTTCTAAGTAGTCACTTCAGGATGTGGTGATGTGAAGTCCTCTGGTGAGAGTTGCTGTGTGTTTTTGACAGAGCATTTCAGACGCTGTTTTAGATGGCAAGGCATAGCTTATGAGAAGCATAACGATTTCACTGCACTAGACAATAACGGTGCTGGGCAAGTGGCCAGTTTCATTGCTGTCTTTTAATTTTTATTTGTTACTGGAATCGCCTTTACCACGCACTTGAGTGCTATGCTTGCTGCCCCTGAAGCCCCCTTGACCACCTTTTTGGGCATTAAACTGAGTACAAGTGAGTTTAACCTAAAAAAACACAGAGGGGGTGGACCTTTACCGTGGAGATGTTAATCTTGTGTGTAAATGGATGGTTAGATTTCTAACACCTGAGACTTCTAAAGGTTGTTGTAAAACAAATGCCTTCTGGGCATTTTCAGTCAGCAAGAAACTGGACCATATTAAATCTGTTTATAATTCTCCAGCTTTCCAAAATTGACTAATTATTAGCTTCAGGTAGTACCACTGCAGAGTAAAACACCCGATTCTGTGTGGTGCAGTTGAATACTTTGCCCAACAGCTGTACGATCAGTGAGATACTATTGTGATGGGAACATCTGTGGGGTTTCTGAATCTTCTACCTCTTACCGTGTATTTCCTTTAGTAAGTGAACCCAACACTCACAGCCTTCTAATATATTTTTTTAACTTCTGAGTCTCTCAATAAAGTCAAATATATGTAAGATTAAACTAAGCAATGTTTAAAGATGTCAGCAACTGTAAAGTATGTTAAGATTTTTAGAAACACTATATTTTATGATTAGGCTGTGTGTTGGATTATGACAAAATATTGGCCTTGGAGTTCAAATGATTTTCCTTCACAGTCGACAGGTTCTGGTAAGTATTTTGGAGAAAGGCAAATATGAGTGAGTAGAAGTAGATGCAGACAGACCATCTGGAAGGAGCCAGTCGCTAGTAATTGCTTTAGGAAAAGATTCTGCACTTCTGTCAAGAGTGTATCAGTCAGCACTGAAGAATATTTTTTGCAAAGATTTACTTCTAGTGTAGCTAGCTGGATTAAAGATAGTCGGTAGTGTATAGCTTGTGAAATTAGGGCCTGAGCCATAATCGTTTGAAATCAGTGTATCTTTTATTGATCTCACTGGACTTTGAGCAGGACCCTCAAGGAGCTCACCCACCTTAGGACATCATGCTAACCTGATAGCCTCTGTGTTACTCTGTTGCCTGGAAGCTGTTTCCCCTCACCTGTTAGTATCTCGTCTTTAGTAACTGGACTGTTCATCACGTGCCTTTTATGGTATTTTGTTTGGAAGCAAACTGGCATGTAATTTTGAATAACCCTCTTAGATTTCTGTGCATGTTTTATGTTTACCACTGTTCACTCTTCCCTCTCCATTGTGTCTTATCAAGAAGCAGCAAGATTTGGCAGACTGAACTGGATATAAGTACTCTCTGTGTAATGTTGATAGCTTCTTGTTTTGCAAACAAATGGCTCTCCTGACTGTACTTTCAATGTAGTATGTACTTTCAGCTTCTCTGGTTTCGGTATCATTCATTTGTAGCATATGATGACACAGTTACCTGTGTGGTGTAAGTTTAACAGTCACTGTCACATTTGGAGGTACGTAGTGACTGGAAGTCCTGGTAAGAGCACCAAGTTTAAGTTAAATAAATGTGGACTTTCACTTTGATGGTCTAGAGTGAGAACATCACAGGACTTGGGTTTTTGCAGAATTCTTCTGCAGAGGAATTTGCAGCGGGTTGGTAACGTGGAGACCTTGTCAGTGCACAAAACCTGAGCTGGCAGGGCTGCGGGAGCCTCCCAAGCCAGCAGTGGTCAGAGTTGTTTGCTCACATTCTGTGCTCTCCTACTTCTACAGTGTAGTGTGTTCGAAACTTGCCAGATTAATAACCTTGAAGATCGCAAATATTTTTATCCACTGTAGTTAGGTACACTGGCAATAGCAATATAAATTGCTGCCTAATACCTCATCCAGCCTAAAACAGAGTACTTGTATTGTCAGTAAGATAGCTCAGTTATTTTGACTCATTTAGACTCATGCTTTTATTTTGGTGTTATTTTTATTTTAATAAATGAACTAGTTATTGCCAGCTATGCTGTAGATGCCTGTTGAAGTGGGGATGTTATCAGTTCTTCTCAAATAGAAGTAATTGTCCATATGAGCGTAGGACCTGCAAGATGAGCTATACTTAAGTTAGTGTTATGTATTTCAATGTGGGAGAAGAATCTTGTATAATTTAAAATAAAAGTAATATGACTAACTGATGGAGACTTGAAAATAGAGATCATATCCAAATAGTAATGCTGCACAATGATGCCACAGTTTAACACGTGAAAATTCACCTGCTAATTCTGGATTTTTTGACATAAGAACTTCAGTAATCCATACTGTAGACTTTTGGTGAAGATACTTGGGCAATATTCCAGAAATGGTTGTGATTGATAATTTACATATAGTTTTGTTATATTTAAATAAGTAGATTTAAGGAGGTTGTTAATTTCATACAGCCTGTCTTTGGTTAAGTTGTGAACGTAAGTCACTACTTGCCAGTTATCTGATTTGAAGCATGGCTTGGCTTTGAAGATAACTACTTCCAAATGATTTAAGAGTTCCTGATTTTGTTGAACCTGCTAAGCTGATGTGCTCGTTAGATAATTCTGATTGTGCTGATGAACAAATGGACCGTTGAGCTATAGCCTGAATTAAAATCAGAAAGAAATTGTGTCAATAGCTAGTGTTCTGAAGTGCTCTTCACCCGAATCCCTGTTGCTGGTTTTAAATGAACTGAGTGGTCAACACCAATGCGACAACCATTTTTAAAACCACAGCTAAAAATAGCGACACACACAATTACAGGCATGCATACACTACAAATTCTGACCAAATTTGCAGCTATTTCATTAATGAATTCATTAGTTTGGCTATGATAGGATGTAACCTGAAAGAATGATCCGACTCCATAACCCTAGCGGATGAGAAGTTAGCTCTTAGGACTTGCTCTGTCATCAAATCCCAAACCTAGCTGTTGTAAGCAAAATCACCACCCTTCAGTGTAAAACTCAGCAAGCTCCTGTTCTCTTCTCTTCCATCCCCTTTCCACTCCTACTGAAAAGTATTTCCATGAATGATCATTACATCCACTAACAGCATCTTGTGTTAATTGGCTAAGACCACAAAGCTGCTAAGTCATCTTTCCACCCAGTGGCCTGGATAAGGTCTATCCAGTGCTGTTAATATGTCTTTTGCTCTTGCTGCTGTGTAGGTGATGGAGCCTCATGTCTCCTGTGCAATTTGCGCTGGTAAATTCATGGGGTGGCTCAGCCATCCTCTGTCTTTCTCACTCTCTAGCGTTGTTCAAGGCTAAGTCTGTGAATCTAAAAGTTGTGCTGTGTCCTGTTTTCTCTTGTGCCAAGCCTGAAGGTCATCCCTTTCTTTCCCTGCGTTCGAGCATCTGTATCATCAGCAGACTGACTGGGCCACTGTTATCAACCACAGAGCGAGGTTGTTTGCTGCATTTTTAAAGCGTTTGAGCATTCTGGTCTCCTCCGAATCCATTTTTTTTTCTGTCCAGAAGGGATTATCCATCAGACTGCTGAGCTGATGACCTGCTGTTTGCGTGTTTACGAGACATCAGCAATACAGGATTTGACTTTGATCAGATTTCCTGAAGACAAATATGAGTAAACTGCACACATACGTACAGCTTCTCATCCCATGACAGCACGGTTGGGTAACGTTCCTGTGTGCACGTAACTTATAGAGCAGGAAAAAAGGAAACGGTGAAACCGAGCACATAGACATAGTTGCAATACAGGAGATTGAGTAATACCTCCTGTCATCTACGCTGAAAAACTCCTTTGACCCGAGTATTTTCCAAGTCAGCTCATGAAATACATTTCTGGTGCCTCAAGTATGGATGCTGGTGTAAACTGAAGCATTGGGAACAGCAGCTCGCACGCCCAGCAGGTGGTATCTTGGCATCCCACAAGTTCTTGGCAACTATTTAGAAAAGCACTACAGCAGTCAACATGAACATGTTATCTCAGCCAGGTAATCAAAACAAGCAGTAAAAATGAGTTCAGAACACAGAAATGTGGCTGGTTTCTCACACTGGAGAAATTTAGTACCCGACTTCAAAACTGGCTCACCTAGCCAGGTCTGGTGGTTTTAGTTCTCTAAAATCCAACCTGCACCAGTTTCAAAATGTAAAAATAGGTGTCTTAATTACTAGAGCATAAAATATCGAAGCAACAAGCTAAGTTTTTTTCTGTTTCTGTATTCCTCTGAATAAAAAAGATAAAGTTTTGGTAAAAAAAAAATCTTTAACGTGAGGCCTTAAGACCTTATATAGTCTAACTTTAGCATGGAGAGTCTATTTTTACAACCATGTTAGAAATTCTGTATATAGGCCTGACTGACCTTGTAAGTATAGTGGTGCTAGCAGCTAATCATGCAATAGCGTAAGACTCTGTATAACAGTAAATGCTGATTTATTTTGATTACTGGTACAAGGAGTCCTGCTTACTGCCTGTGTAGAGACTGCATATTTTATGCTTGGAAATACAGTCCAGAACATATTCAAACTGTGAATATATAACCTGATTTTTCTTTTCTTAAGGGTAAAGATATATTACAATAGGTAGTGTTTTATATAGAATACAGTACTTATTTTTATTGTTGCATAAAAG